AGCCTATCCCAGCCGTCTTCGGGCAGTCGGCGGGGGACACCCTGAACCGGTTGCCAGCCAATCGCAGGGCACACAGAAACAAACAACCATTTGCGCTCACACTCACACCTAGGGACAATTTGGTGTGTTCAATCGGCCTGCCATGCATGTTTTTGGAATGTGGGAGGAAACCGGAGTACCCGAAGAAAACCCACGCAGGCCCGGGGAGAACATGCACACTCCACACAGGGGGGCCGGAGCTGGAATTGAACCCGGTACCTCTGCACTGTAAAGTCAACGTGCTAACCACTGGACTACCGGCCGCCTCACATACATATACAGTATATGTATATGTATAACAACACAAGAGACTAAATTGTCTCTTGTGTTGAAGTTTCTTCTCAAATTAATCTACATTTTTTTTCCCGGAATTTTCAGAAAAGTCCACTTTCATCTCTGAACACGGAACTGGAAATTCAAAATCCGAATGACCCGGCAGATTAGTCTCTGTTCTAATTGATTCTTCACCGCCACTAGTTGGTGAAGAGTCAGGAGTCCGATATCAGTTGAACAGAATATAAATTGTTTATATTCGAAATTTGGATACACTTCCTAATTGTCTTTTCTATTTGTACAGTATGTTGGCGAAAGTGAGCGGGCTGTGAGACAAGTCTTTCAAAGGGGCCACAATTCTGCTCCTTGTGTCATCTTCTTTGATGAGATTGATGCTTTATGTCCTCGACGTTCAGGCCATGAGGTGAGAAAATATGTACCGTATTTTCCGCACTAAAAGACGCACTGGATTATGAGGCGCACCTTCAATGAATGGCTATTTTGTAAATGTTTTTCATACATTGGACGCTTCGCATCATAAGGCGCAATCTACAATGCCTCCACTAGATTGTGCCACGCTCCTTCATTCAACTTGAGAGGCGTTCATGACTGCCTCTGAAAAACGTAAATTAAATATTACTGTACTTAAATGAAACACGAAAATTGAAAATAAGGCATCAAGACAGAAAATCAAGCGAGGAAATCACAAAATAAATTCTATAGCGCCCTACAGAATTTCTTTTGTGTTTTCCTCCCTTGATTTTCTTCATAGTTTCATTGAAGTAAGAATTAATTTACGTTTTTCAGAGACGGCCATGAACGCCTCGAGTGGAACCGGAAGAGAAGGCATGGAGACGGACAAAGACGTACAGTACCTGTATTTGTTGAGACTGTGAAAACCATTAATAAAGTTTGCGTTTAAAAAAAAAAAAAAAAACTACAGCTCTCCTTTTTTCAACATATACAGGTGAGTCTTTGTCCGTCTCCCGTGCCTTCTCTTCTTCCGTTCAACTCGAGAGGCGTTCATGACCGCCTCCGAAAAACGCAATGGCATTTCCTTGATCAGAGCTCCTACAAAACGATCAGATGTCAGTCGTAGTTATTTATTCCTTTTGTTGTGTATTCACAAATGATGAAATCACAATATAAATTCTGTAGGGGGGGCAATAGAATTTATTTTGTTATATCCTCGCTTGCTTTTCAGTTTTGATGTATTATTTTCAATTTTTGTAGTTTCATTGAAGTGATCATTAATTTACGTTTTTCGGAGGCGGTCTTGAACGCCTCTCGAGTCGAACAGAAGAAGGCACGGAGACGGACAGTATTTGTTGAGACTGTTTTAAAAAATTAACACCACAGCTCTCCTTTTTTCGGAGCTGCAACAAAAACTTATTTAATAAAGCAGCGACACAGTTCACTGAACCAACAGCAAGTTATAACATTGTAAGCACGTCTCCAGCAAGGAGCCATCTTGGGGTCGACATATTACCGTAATGACCATACACAAGACGCACCGGATTTTAAGGCTCTCGTGAGCTTTTAAGAAAATGGAAGACTTTTTGGTGCGCCCTATAGTGCGGAAAATACGGTACGAAATACAGGTAGAATATCGGCACACCAGTGACTTGCCCTTCAAGGGTAAATCAAGTAAAAAAAATATATGTATTTTTTTTCTACGCTCCCCCACTCATCCAAACATGATATTCTGATTAATAGTTTACAAATTCTCAGTTTGTGAATGTCATATGACCAAACACAGAAAACGGGCGAGGCGGGATTGGTCGTTACCTGAACCCTTATACAATGTGATGTCATCAGTCGACAGCAAGTGGCAAAATGCCCCCGTAACATTGATAAAATCTGATGGATTTTGCCGCTTAATTCTTGTTCCACAAGTCCAATATTAATCCGAAAACTGTGTTTGGACTCACGGGGTCACATAGAATATATTATTGACTTGACTTTCCATTTAACATTTACAAGTTTTATCATAGAGTACAGTAAATTTCAAAATGTATGCAACCTTTTCATCCATCCATTTACTTCTGCTTACTTGTGGTCAAATTGCGGGCCCAGCAGCTTTAACAGAGAAGCCCAAACGTCCCTGACCCCGGCGACTTCAACCGAATCATTCCCAGACAAGCTGGGAGACAGTCTTTCCAGTGTGCCTTGGGTCTTCCCTGGGGCCTCCTCCTGATGGGAGGTGTCCAGAACACCTCAACAGGAAGACGTCCAGGCATCCTAATCAGATGCCCGAGCCACCTCATCTGGATCCTCTCAATGTTGAGGAGCAGCGGCTTGACACTGAGCCCCTCCCAGATAATTGAGCTTCTTACTGTATCTCTCAGAGAGGGCCTGGACACCCTGTCGACACATGTTTCGGACACTTATATCCGGAATTATGTTCTTTTGGTCACGACCCACAGCTCGTAACCATAAGTGAGGGTCGGAACCTAGATCGACCGAATTGAGAACTTTGCCTTTTGGCTCAGTTACTTCTTCACCATGACAAACTGATACAGAGTCCGCATCACTGCCCCGATCAGCCAGTTGATACCCCGTTTCATTCTTTCCTCACTCATCAACAAGACCCCAAGATTCTTGAACTCTTCCATTTCGGGCAGGATCTCTTCCCTGGAGATGGAACCTTTCTCGACTGAGGACCATAGTCTGAGATTCTTAGGGCTGTGTTTCAGCCCAACTGCTTCACACTCCTCTGCAAACCCTTACTGCAGGTGTCCAAATGGGTTCGGGGATTGCCGCCACGGCAGGCAACTTGGGGCCACAGTTCCGGTCAGCCACCTCAGCAATGGAGGCGTGGAACATGGTCTGCTCGGACTCAGTGTCCTCCGCCTCCCCCAGGATGTGAATGAAGTTTGACCGCAGGTGGGAATGGAAAGTGGGATTGGGGACTCTGCTCGTCGTTCCTTGCAGGCCCTCAAATTATGTTTGGGTCTGCCTGGTTGGACCGTTTTTTTTTCCTCCACCATCAGCCAACACACCAGGGTGTGATCAGTTGACAGCCTCACTGCTCTTTTCAAGCAGGTGTCCAAGACATACGGCCCTAAATTCAATGATGTGTACCCCACCTCCTGCCCAAAAAGAGCTGGGATAGGCTCCAGCATGCCCCACAACCCTTGTGAGGATAAGCGGATTAGAAAATAGATGGACGAATGTTTTTATCGTGATGCATGTACTGTATGTCTGCATTGAATTATCTTGTCTATCTTCAGTCAGGAGCCAGCATACGTGTGGTGAACCAGTTGCTAACAGAAATGGATGGCTTGGAAACTCGCCGACAAGTCTTTATCATGGCTGCAACCAACAGACCAGGTAATGATCCAGATTTTGTCAAGCCTGTTGGGGGGGGGGGGGGGGGGGTTGTGCTTGTTGCTTTTTACCTGCTGACTGTATGGCTAGCCCAAAAAATACCTAAAAAATACCCTCAACATATACCAGAAATTGGCCTGAGCCAGGTGTATCTGTCCAAACACTGAACCGAAGATGGTACTTTCTTGTGGTACGCAGCGATTGGGGTTGGTACCGCTGAGCACCGATTCACGTGAAATCAAAATGGGACCAAATTTCAGTTCCGAAGCACATCTTTAATAGTCGTAACTGTGCCTCAGTGGAAGCGTTGCTGATTTTCCTTGGAGCACTTGAACTTAGTGCATGCTCCAGCGTAATGACATCACCCACTCACACAGGCTTTCACGCACTAATTATACCTTTCCAGGCTTGGAAGTGAGCGAGATTTTCCCGCTGCCAAGCCAAACAAAGTTTATGAAGGTTATTGTTGTAATGGTGAAGGCTCACGCTTGGTAGCATGCTTTGATTGAGTGTTGGGGCGGGGTGGACTTCTCTGTGCTGATGCCGGGTGGTCCCTGCAATTGTTGCATTGCTCAGGAGGAACCTCCCTCTCAGCCATCCATGCGGGGAGCACAGCCATGTTGACTGTCTCTGCCCGGCGCCGGCACCAAGAGGTCCGCTTTACCAGCCAAATCGAATCATGCTGGGAGGTGCTCGGCTTTACCATTGTTACAATACAAGCATCGTATTTTTCGGATTATACGTCACTCCGGATTATAAATCGCACCAGCCAAAAAATGCATACCGTATTGGCCCAAATATAAGATGGCCCTGATTATAAGACGACCCCCTCTTTTTCAAGACTCAAGTTTAAAAAAAAGACTTTTTGAACACCAAATTAATTTTTATACAGAAAATAATTACAGTAATAATAATAATAATAATAATACCTTAACATTTATAAGCGCCTTTCAAAACACTCAAGTACACACATCTGAAACAAATGATTCTAATGGCTTCTGGTTTTTGAAATGTAAATCACATCATAACTTCTCCTCAGCTGCTGGTTAACCTGGCCAATCTTTGACCCACTTTTCTCCAGATTTTCGCTACATTTCTCCATTTTCTGTTATTATTTTCTACATCTGAAACAAATGATTCTAATGGCTTCTGGTTTTTGAAATGTAAATCACATCATAACTTCTCCTCAGCTGCTGGTTAACCTGGCCAATCTTTGACCCACTTTTCTCCAGATTTTCGCTACATTTCTCCATTTTCTGTTATTATTTTCTTCTTTTCTTTCTTACAGCTATTTTTTATTTTTCTTCTTTGTACTACCGCTATTTTTATTTTTATTCTTTGTGACGGGTTCACTTTGGCCTGGTGAGTCAAGTTCAGCATTCGCTTCAATGGTATCTGGCGCCATCTAGCATCGTGAATGGGTATAATGTCTAGACCCCGAATATAAGACGACCCCCACTTTTTCAGTCTTATTTC